ATCACAAAAGTACTGGGCAGCAGACAATGCAGTTAAATACAGAGTATTTAAATTATTGTTAATATGACTATGAAGCTTAATGTAATTGTGAAAATTAATGTCTAAAAGATACTGATCATCCAAAGTTTAATAATAGTAATATTAGCTAACAATAAAAACATAAAAGTAAAGAGAATGAGGTCAGGAAATTAAAGGTAAGCAAAAATCTTTATATATATATATGAATGAAAGCTCAACAGACTCATGTAATTAGAAAAGATAAAATATTTTTTAAGAACTCTAAAGGTATTGCTTTATATTAAAATAGGATGTATATCTTCCTAATCACTAGAGGAAAATATATACATGAAAAACTATTAGAAAGACAGGGATATGTGGAAGGATAAATTTATAGTAGCAATTATGTATAAAATATGTTAAATAATGTGATCAAAAGATATATTAAATAATATATTTGAAGTATTAGCCACAGAACACAGACAAACTAATATAAATTAATTCATAAAACACAACAATAAAAACATAACTAACAATAAAAACATAAAAGTAAAGAGAATGAGGTCAGGAAATTAAAGGTAAGCAAAAATCTTTATATATATATATGAATGAAAGCTCAACAGACTCATGTAATTAGAAAAGATAAAATATTTTTTAAGAACTCTAAAGGTATTGCTTTATATTAAAATAGGATGTGTATCTTCCTAATCACTAGAGGAAAATATATACATGAAAAACTATTAGAAAGACAGGGATATGTGGAAAGATAAATTTATAGTAGCAATTATGTGTAAAATATGTTAAATAATGTGATCAAAAGATATATTAAATAATATATTTGAAGCATTAGCCACAGAACACAGACAAACTAATATAAATTAATTCATAAAACACTTAATAAATTCCAAAACACAGATATTCTCTAAGCCACCTTTTAAAAATCCAATCCAATTAACTAGAATAAATAATTAACAATTTAATACCTAACCACCTAGAAATTTTAGGATATTCTCTTGGAAACAAAAGAAAGATAAAATTAGAAATATGGCTATTAAGAAAGTTACAACAAAGAGGTGGGGGAGAATCAGAAATAGAGGATTTGAATTTTACACAAATTACTATAGTAGAATCAATGTTAGAACATTTAAAATATTGATGACATGCATGATTTTCCTAAAAAATACAATGATAATGAGATATCAAGAATGATTCCAAGGTTTTCCATTGGCAAGCTGATGGACAATTTACTGAGAATCCCTTGGGATTGGGGTATCTTGAGTGGGCGGAGTCTAGGGGACATCCAAGTACAATTTCCAGGCAATAGTTGGAATAGATAGGCTGAATCTTAGGCAAACAAACTGCACTGGACATAAAGATTTGTGATAGCCAGCATATGACTTGACAAGGAAATCATGGGGGCACTGATGAGGCTCGAGCAGGAGTTGTGTAGCTGAGCAGAAGACTGTCTTGGCAACTGTGGTGAAGAGCATCCCATCTGCAAGACACTGAGGAAGAGCAGTCCTGTAAGCAGGCTGAGAGCATCGCGAGGGACGTAGAGTGACCCTGGGCAGGTGTATTCTGGAAAGCACATGGATTGAAGTATTTTCGTGTTAAATGCTAACTTGAGTTTAAGATAAGAATGGAAAAGTGCCTCTTGGTTTGGCTAAAATGTTATTCGGTGACTTTGACAGAGCAATTTCACTGGGGTTCTTTCAAACTTTTGGTCAAGAAGTAATATCCATGCTATAAAAGTTTTATGGAGCATAGGATAAAATATAGAAAGCTTTTCAATTTACTGTTCAAAGCTGGTATAAAATAAAAATCAATCAGGGGCTGGATAGCACCATGAGCACAATCCCAGTTATTGATATAGACACAAATTCCCAGCAACAATAATAATAACTGACATTTGCTGACAATATGTGTTAGGCACTATTCTCGGTAATTTAATTGATTTAATCTTCACACCAATAGTCTTAAGAAAATATTAACAAATTGAATCCATAAATATACTAAGTAAATTATATTCCACACTCATGAATAAACATTTAATTGTGGAAATATTGGGAGAAGATTAATATGATTGTAATTTTCTGAAATTCTAATAAGTTCTGATAAAATCTCTTATCAAAGCATGCTAACTAATATCTGTCTCGAATAGCCATCACCACATTTGGTGGTGAAACATTAGTGTCATTTAGAGGACAGCAAGCAAAAATATCCACCCCCATCCTCATTTTTAGACTCTATTTGGGAAGTTTTAGCCAACACAAGAATGGGATTAAAATAATTAAATGGGATCAATATGTCCATCAACAGGAGATAAAATGGTCATAACATATAGATGCTATTAATGTACAAGTTTAAGAATGAACAAAAAAAGTAATGACATCTGTCAGGGATTTGGATTCAAAATAACAGGTAGCTACAATTAATTAAGATCTTTTATGTGCCAAGAACTGTGCTGGGGCATCATATAAATTGTTTCATTTAATTTTGATGGCAAACTCATAAGATGATGAATTATAAGAAGCTCGAAAAATTAATGGTCATGATCTAAAGCTGATTCTCTTTTTTTAAAAAAAATATTTTTTTATTGATTTCAGAGAAGAAGGGAGAGGGAGAGAGACATAGAAACATCAAAGATGAGAGAGAATCATTGAGTGGCTGCCTCCTGCACACTGGGGATTGACCCTGCAACCCAGGCATGTGCCCTGACCGGGAATCAAACCATGACCTCCTGGTTCACAGGTAGATGCTCAATCACTGAGCCATGCCGGCTGGGTGTAAAGCTGATTCTATTAATGACTATGCCATATATTGCCACACTACTCTCATACATACTGTCTGCACAGACATATAAAAACCTAAAGTGTTTTTAGGTTCTAGGAAAACTCTTAGCAAATGTGATGAGAGGGTAATCATAATCATAATAAAAAAACAACAAAAAATGAAATACATAGCAAAAAATAATTGTGAGCAACCAAAAACTTATTACCTATATGATAAGCAATGCACATTTTATTGTTGGACCTAAAGAAGAACTCTTATATGTATGAATATGTAAACACAAGCACACATAGTGTGTGTGTGTGTGTGTGTGTGTGTACAACCAAAAACTTATTACCTATATGATAAGCAGTGAACATTTGGTTGTTGGACCTAAAGAACTCTTATATGTATGAATATGTAAACCCAAGCACACATAGTGTGTGTGTGTGTGTGTGTGTGTGTGTGTGTGTGTGTGTGTACTAACCAGATTTGGAGTTGGGATAGTCTGTGATTTTTCTACATATAATACCTATGAACACATTGGGATATGTTATTGTAAAGTGACAGAGTGTTAAAAATACTAACTTAAAAGTGTTTTTACAAGTAAAAAAAAAGACTAATCCCCAATAGAAAAGAGAGCAGAAACTATTAATAAGTAGTTCATAAGAGAAGAAATTAAAATCACCAAGTACAGAAAAAAAATTCAACTTCACTGATGAATAAACGAATGTAAGTTAAAATGATGACATGCATTGCTGAAGGGAGTATAAATTTGTACATTCTTCTGAGGAGTGATTAACAGTATGTGTGAAAGGCCTTAATATAATGATAAATTTTGGTCAAGTAATTCTAATTCTTGAAATTTTCCAATTGAAATAATTAAAGCTATGTGCAAAGAATAATTACTGCTCTGATTTTTACAATAGTGAGAAATTAGGATCATGTTAAATGCTAACATTAGTAAACTATTTAAATAAATTATAGACTATATAGTGAAAATACACAGGGATATTAAATAATGTTATAAAATTATTTAATAACCTGGGAGAAAGTTTGCTATATTGTTAAATGGATAAAAGTAGGTTATGTACCAGTGTGAATAGTATGTCTCTGAATAATTTTAAGTATGTGTGTTTTAAATGTGGAAGGATATAAGCAAAAATGTTAACCCACATCATTTCTAAACTGACGAGGTTATGAGTAATTTTATTTTTACTTCGATACTCAAAATTTTTTATATTTTTAAATAAGAGGTGTGATTTTGCTAGAGTAATAGCAACAAATATTCATAAAATGTATGCAGAAAGGAAGGTTAAAAAGGAACTGTGTTTACTGCTGCCTAACGGGAGAGCAGGTGATTATTGCTTTATTTTTTGTATCTTTTTTCTTTACTTTTATCATGCATTAATTTCAAAACCACAAAATTTAAACCACAAACTTAAAACTTAAAGGAAGAGAGGAAGAAGGTTAAAGGAATCTACTTCAAAATCTCTAGCATAGTAGAAATGCTGAAATATGTCATTCATTCACTCATTTATTCACTCACTTGACTATTGTTGACACGAAGTGCCTGCTGTGTGCCAAGCACTGTCTTCAGCAGCGGGGACACAGCGGTAAAGCAAAACAAGTACGGAATTTGCAGTATATGGTGGAGCTGACATTAAACAAATGTTCATGTGATGAAATATAATTGGAAATATAATCGGAAAGTGTATTATGCATAAGAACAGGGTTTAATGAGAATAAACCCATGGGAAGTTCATATATATATATGTATATATGAAAAAAAATGATATTTGGCGAAGAACTAATAGGAGGTAAAGGTATACTTGGCAAAGAGAAGATGGGAGGAAGGAAGAAGCATGTAAAGGTCATTTGTTGTCTTCAGAAACTGGGGGAGAGTTTATTGTGTAATATTTCTGATTATGTAAGACTGAGCAGAGGATTACACGTGTGTGCACTTAAGGCAGAAGTTATAAAATAATTTTAATATTCTGAAATTTTGCAATCTCATTCTAATGGGGAAAAAAGCATTAAATTACCATTAACTCCAAAGATATGTGTGAATTAACCAATGTCGATAGCAAAAATCTTTAACTGATTGTATTATTATGTATCAATTCTTAGACAAGTAATATCAGAACCTTTCTATTACCTACAGAAGATTTAATTAGAAGTTTGTTTTGTGGAGAGGATTCATACTAAAAAAAAAGAGGACTTTTATTTTTCAGCGTTAAATGAACCCACCATAGACTACGGCTTCCAGAGGCTGCAGAAAGTCATCCCAAGGCATCCTGGAGATCCTGAGAGATTAGCTAAGGTAAAACACTTTGGAAATTAACATGTGAAAACCGTCTTGTAGGATTTCAGCAAATTTAGATAAATACAGAACCTTAAATCCCTCTAAAATTAAGTTAGGTCTTGAAATTTGGCTAAGCTTTAGATACAAGACACACATAAAATATTTACTAACTGAAATATAAGATGATTAATCTCTGAGGAAATATGAAATCTGAAAACTTGGGCCTATAAAACAGATACACTATGAGTATTCAGCTTATAAAACACTGCCAACTTGATGAAAATGAATAATTGTATAATTGCTTAAAACTGTAATTTCTCACTCCTTTGTATTTAAATATAATTTTATTTACACATAATTACAGGGACACATTAGTCCTCAATCAAGAATTCATTGAGGACTTACTATGTATACAGGCATTTAATGAAGTGAAAAACCCCTCCATCTACAATTTATATGAAATGCATCACTTTTAAATGAATTTGCTTATGAAAATTATATCATAAATCTATCCCACTATTTTAGCTTTCTTTTTAAAAATACATCAATCTATTAGGTATTCAATTAATTGGGAATTAATACATTTTAACATTTATGTTTACATTTTACACACACACATAATAATATGCTATGCTCTGTTTTCTCTACTGTGAGTAAAATTTAAGTACCACAGTTGCTTCTACATCATACTTTTATTTCCAGTTGGAAAAATCCCCAGCCCCACTATTAAATTAGGTGATATCTGGAAAGTAGGTTAATAGCAATTTAAAAGGCTGTTAAAAACAGGAGGTGGAAAAGACAAAATGAGAGGAAAGGGATTACTGAATACCAATTCTCTCTGGTTAAAATGAACAGGGGGAAATATTATTGGAAGAATTCATCTTTATTAGAATAAAATTTTGCAGAAGGCATTGCCAAGATAATTTCAGTACTATGGACAACTCCTTGGCAAGCAGCTAAACACAGGCCAATCAATCATTTTAAGAATACTTGATTAATTAGAGAGAGTACCAGGTTTTTTAATGAAATGGCCTGGAAAGTAGTTCTTAATAAAACTTTCATTACATTATTAATTTTAACCAACTCTACCCCCGATTTGGTTGTTCTCTGTTTTGGTTGCACCACATTTTATGGATCCATTTTATCTAGAGGAATTCCATGTAGATACATATTTATAGAGGGATTTATATGTATGATATTCTACCTCTCAAACCAAACATAGGACCCCTTGGCTAGTTATTTACATTTTAGGGGGATGTCTGGATGTTTTATTTTTATACGTAATTTTCCTTTCTGTTTGCCATTTGGGGTTCTTCCTTTGCGTATACCCCACTCTTTCTTTTCTTTTCTAGGAAATGCTGTTGAAAAGAGCTGCGGATCTCGTGGAGGCCCTCTACGGCACACCACACAATAACCAGGTTAGGAGCTCACATCCTATACTCTATACTGCGTTTGACTCCTGATGAAATGCTCACCTCAACCTGCCATTTTGCAGGACATGATTTTACCCCCTTGTCCCCATAGGACATCATTTTGAAGCGAGCCGCAGATATTGCTGAAGCCCTCTACAGTGTCCCCAGGAATCCCAGCCAGATCCCAGCTCTCTCCAGCTCTCCAGCTCACAGTGGCATGATGGGCATCAATTCTTATGGCAGCCAACTTGGGGTCAGCATCTCAGAGTCAACACAGGGAAACAACCAAGGTACTACCTTTCTCAGAGTCAAAATCCAAACAATTTATACATTTAAAAGGTTAGTCTGCTTGAGTGCAAGGAGCTAAAGTTTGGTTTAAATACCATCAAAAGAGTGTGTCCCCAGATAAACAATGCAATCACATACTATTGGGTTATCTCAAGATTATAAGTGGTGTATTATTAGATTTTGAGTTTTTTTGGTAACAGGTAGAATGCTTTTACCTGGAAATACTTAAGGACCAGACTGACTATTATGATTTTAGAAAAGCTTAGGCTTACTGAATCAGATTTACAGGTATTATTTGAATAAAAGTTATACTTGTACCATTGTGATCATCAGACTGAATAATGGAAAGAAGCTGACTTATTGACATTATTGTTTTTTATACACAACTCTCTCTTCCTAGTAACCAAGGGTGAATGGCTTGGTTTTATTTGGCAACTTCTTTTTGTGTATTACCTCAGATACAAAAAATAGCAACCAGTTTATACAGTTAATTGTGCTTTTACATGTAAAGTATATCATGTAAATAATTTTGTCATTGAGGTTGAAAGGGGCTAAATTTGTCATAAATCATTTTTAGATGTAAATAATCTAAATAATGTCTCTAACCTTGAGGTAATTTTATTTCTAATTTTGTTCACCCATTGGATGGAAACTCCTCATTCTTATGTCCAGGGTGATTTCTTGCAGAAGGGTGGGTGGGGTATAACATTACTTTTTTTTTCTTCGAATTTTGGTTATTTCCTAAATAGTTCTAGAGACAGTTTCCTCACAGTGGGTGACTTCAGGATAGGTTAGGTGATGTCTCTGTGCTAGGGTTTTAGAAGTATGAGGAGGACTCACTGTCCCTTCCCTTATCCCTCTTAGAGGCTGGATTTACCCAAACTCCACTGCTGATGTTTCCAAGTCTTTGGTCAAAGAACAGCACATTTAAATGAGCTTATCAACACTTTTTGAATGAAAATGTTTCCCACCCCCACCCAGGGCATGGCAACAAATTTGAACATTCCCAAAGCTGTGACAGGTAGAATACTAGTGGCCCTTGAGGTGTTATCAGAATGCCTTTTCCCCACCACTCCCAGAACAGATGCTATGGTGTGTTTAATTTGGGAAATACTAGGTTAGCAAAGTTAAATTAGTTTAGGTATTCTCTAGGTCCCTCATATGCCAATCTTCAAAGAATGACTACAGTATGCAACATCTGCCACACTTTGACCACACAATGCTTTTCTCAGTGGTACTTACTAATATCTCATAGGGCTCTAGTGTTATATGAAATATGATTTGGGAGATGTCAGTATACACTGCCATTAGTCATTCCTTGGTATGAGTTGGTGAGGTTGACTGCAAATGTAAAAGCAGATGAAGGAGGGACTGTGAGAGACATGGCCTTGGGTAGGATGGGGAAGGGAAAGGAAGTATTAAAGGATGAAGGTAAGATGCGCACTTTCCACCCCGTCCAGGATCAGGGTGGTGGTGCTCTGTAGTCTGGGCTGATGTGGATCTGTGCTGCCATGTTTGCTCTGCACTACGTGTGCGCATTGGTTCATTGACCCGGGCTTTTCTTGGTTGTCCAGGTTACATCCGCAACACAAGCAGCATCTCTCCTCGGGGCTACTCTTCCAGCTCTACCCCTCAGCAGTCTAATTACAGCACCTCCAGTAACAGTATGAATGGCTACAGCAACGTCCCCATGGCCAACCTGGGCGTTCCAGGGTCACCAGGATTTCTAAACGGCTCCCCCACAGGCTCCCCTTATGGAAGTAAGTTCCCTCTCCACTGTCTGCCTCTCCCTGTCTCTGTCCCTGGGTTTTACTGTTCAGCCTTTTGAGGGAGAGTTGCCCTCCTTCCTACATCTCACTGCCCCATGAAGGAAGAGCCCAATTCCTTTCCTTCCTGCCTTTTGTTCTTTTCCCTTCGCTAGACTTAGGCTCCTTTGGTTACTCCAAGTCTTGGGGCGGGAGGGGGGTGCGAGGGGGAGGCAGATTGGGGGAAAGGAAAGAGGGGAAATGTTTCCTTTTTTTAAACAGAGAAAGAGCATATGTAGCTTGTGTAGATAGAGGAGAGGAATTCAGATTCCGTGAAGAGTAATGTATACTCTTCACCAGGGGTTTTTAGATATGATGTTTTATTTAATCCTCCTAAGAACTTTCTGAGGTTGGTATTGTTATCCCATTGTTCCAGGTGAGGAGGTTTAGGTGCACAGAAAATCACTGACTTACCTGAGACCACACAGCTGGCATAGGGCAGGGTAATCATTTCAACATAGAAGTTATGACTTCACGTTATTCTGTGCATCCCACCAGGCTCCCTTTTTACTGTGTTACATGGCTCTCTCCTCCATCCAGAGCAGCGATTTTCAACTCCTTTCATCTCATGGCACACATAAACTAATTACTAAAACTCTGCGGCACATCAAAAAATATATATTTTTTGCTGATCTGACAAAAAAAGTATAATTTTGATTCATTCAACCAGACGGCTATTGTAATGTTGGCTGTTGCCATTTTTTTATTTCACAATCTAAGGGAAAATAGGTCAGTGTCCCTGACTAAATGGTCAGGTATTGCATGTTTTTGAAATTCTTGTGGCACACTGTGTAAAAGTTGCTGTTCTAGAGAGATGGATTTGACAACTTGTGAGAGTGATACATGGAGATAAAACCTTTTAAAAAAATTTAAGTATGGTTGGTGTACAATATTACATTGATTTCAGGCGTACAATATTTATATACCTTACAGTGTGATTACCACACCAAGTCTAGTCATCTGTCATTGTGCAAACTTATCATGGCCCAGCAATTCCACTTTTGGGTATTTAGCCAGAAAAACAAAACCACTAATTTAAAAAATATATGCACCCTTGTGTTCACTGCAGCATTATTTACAATAAACCAAGATATGGAAGCAACCAGGGCCCATCAATAGATGAATGGAGAGACAGAACCTCCTAATCTTGACCTATGGGCTAGCAGCAAGCTAGATGTTCCAGGAAGTTATAAAAACTCACTCAGCTTGCTTTCAGGGCTAAACTGGGAACTTACACAAGCTAAGAGAACACGTGTTTTTCAAACCTACTTAGGGGATACTTCAGGCCAGGAGAGAAGCCACCATGGAGAGTCTGAGTGATTGAGTGGGGTGTTCTTGAAATGTTAGATTCTGTGGCAGGCTTTGCAGCAGATCCTCCGTTCCCAGACTGGTTCCCTCATGCCAGGAACAAGGGCGCGTCAAGGTCGGCACACAGCCCCTTCCACTACAGCTCAGGAAGTGACATGCCAAGGATCTGGAGGCTGCTGCTCAGCCTTTGGGTCTATGGTTCCCTATTGATACACACCCATGAATTCTTTCTGGGATATGTGTTTGATTTGTCACACTCAGCACCCTACTGAATGTGATAAGGACACAGCAACCAGGGAGCAGAGACAGTAGAGGTTGGTTCTTCTAGTACCACTAAAATCTGATGACATGAGTTCTGTGTTGTATGATCCAGATCAATTAGACCAGAATGATCTAGAAAAACAAACTTTTGCTTGATTTATTTATTTCTTCACGTTTTTTTTTTACCTTATCTTGTTTCAAAAATGGGGGAATTGTAGTGGCCAGATGGGTATTATGAAAGTAGAAGATAGAAAATATAAGAAACTGAGATAAAAGAAAAAATATGGATAGGAAAATTAGATGAAGCCAAGGACAGGTATGGATGCCATTCGGTCATTCAAGGGAGCCATTATTTTGGTTCAGAGACAAGATGGTAAAGCAAAGAGAGGAGCTATTTGCTATAAGCATTAGTGTCCACCGTATATTTTTAGTAGCTCAGGAGAAACTTGAATTTTCTGTTGCCAAGACCTTGTGGAGGTTTCTTCCTGCATCCTTGTGGAGAGGGGACCTGTGTGCAGAATGGATCACATCGTCAACAGCCCCTACAAGTGGTAGAGGGCAAGAGAGCCATTATGTAAATAATGTCCCCTATCAGTGGTGACAACAATAAGAGGAATTCATAATTGCATTCCAATTTATCAGCCTATCAGGCTTGTCACATGTACAGTCCAGTCAGATCCTCACAACACCCTTATGATGTGGATATAATAATGGTAATAATTATAATTATCATAATTTCTCCTCTAAGATATTAATCATTATTAAATCGCTTACTCAAGGATTGCTAATAAATAGCAAAAGCGAGACTAGAACAAGTCATCAGATTCAGAATACCAAGTTTTTAAATTATTCAATAATGTAAGAAATATTTCACATATTTATAATACATTATTAGGCTGAAACATATGAAATGAATATCACATGTTCAATCATACATTTATGAATAAAATGTGTGTATGTGGTTGAACCATATGAAATTGTCATTTTTGTAGATCAAATTGGTCAAGCCCTGGTTGGTGTGGCTCAGTAGGTTGGAGCATTGTCCTGTGCACCAAAGGGTGGCGGGTTCAATTCTTGGTCAGAGCATATGCCCAAGTTGCAAGTTGGATCCCCAGTCCAGATGCATATGGGAGGCAACCCATCAATGTTTCTCTCTCACATTGATGTTTCTTTCTCTTTCTTCCTCTCTCTCTAAAATCAATAAAAACATATGCAAATGTTAAAATCAATAAAAACATATATAATAATATAGTGTGCGGTGTAAGAGAAAGTTGGGAGGGAGAGGATAGATAGATGATAGATAGATAGGTAGATAGATATACAGACAAACATAGATAATGGATAGATAAATGAAAATGCCTGATATTTCTTTTCCATAATTCATTTGATAAGGAGGAACCCTTCCTATACCAGCAACTGACACCTTGCTTTCACTACCCTTTCTTGATCACTCAATCCCATGCCACAGGAAAAATAATCAACTCAAAGTCTTCAAAGTAAACAAGACAGTGCCCTGGTTGGCATGGGTCAATGGTTAGAGCATCAACCCATACACGAAAGGGTTATGGGTTTGATACATTATTAGGCTGAAACATATGAAATGAATATCACATGTTCAAGCATACATTTATGAATAAAATGTGTGTATTTGGTTGAACCATATGAAATTGTCATTTTTGTAGATCAAAATTGGTCAAGTCCTGGTTGGTGTGGCTCAGTAGGTTGGATGGAGCATTGTCCTGTGCACCAAAGGGTGGCGGGTTCAATTCTTGGTCAGGGCATATGCCCAAGTTGCAAGTTGGATCCCCAGTCCAGATGCATATGGGAGGCAACCCATCAATGTTTCTCTCTCACATTGATGTTTCTTTCTCTTTCTTCCTCTCTCTCTAAAATCAATAAAAACATATGCAAATGTTAAAATCAATAAAAACATATATAATAATATAGTGTGCGGTGTAAGAGAAAGTTGGGAGGGAGAGGATAGATAGATGATAGATAGATAGGTAGATAGATATACAGACAAACATAGATAATGGATAGATAAATGAAAATGCCTGATATTTCTTTTCCATAATTCATTTGATAAGGAGGAACCCTTCCTATACCAGCAACTGACACCTTACTTTCACTACCCTTTCTTGATCACTCAATCCCATGCCACAGGAAAAATAATAAACTCAAAGTCTTCAAAGTAAACAAGACAGTGCCCTGGTTGGCATGGGTCAATGGTTAGAGCATCAACCCATACACGAAAGGGTTATGGGTTTGATTCCTGGTTGAGAGCACATACCTGGATTGCAGGTTCACTCCCTGTGGGAGGCAACCAGTTGATGTGTTTCTCTCACGTCGATGTTTCTCTCTCTCTCTCTCTCTCTCTCTCTCTCCCTCCTTCCTTCCCTCCCTTACACTCTCTCTAAATAGCAATGGAGAAAATATCCTCAGGTGAGGATTAACAACAACAACAAGTAAGGAAGCAGCATACACAGAATAGAAAGAGGAAGATGCCCTGTCCAACAGGAGTGGGAAACATAGCCAAGAACCTCCTCCTAACTCCTACTGGGTGTGTGTGGTCCTTGCACCTTCATTTTCTGAGGGAGGGTCTGAAGGAGTTTCAGACTGTGAATGGGAAACCAAACAGTGCATTCATTAATTCATTACAATAAAATCCTCTACTGCTAAATTACGAAATACCCTGTGGAGTTCATCACAATAATATCTGACCTGTCTTTCTAATTTCTAACCACTAAGTCTTAACATCTCTGGCAAATACCAAAAAAGGAAAGGATTAAAGGATTTTTATCAGTTCAGGTGCATGTGTCTGAAAACAGCATTCTATAATTTTTCATTTTATTTTTTAAACTAAAAAAAAAAATAGTCTGATGTGGCCAGGCCAGGCCATGGAACAATCACTTGCTAGAGACATTAAAAAGAAATAAAGCCAAGTCTTTTGGTCAAGTTGACTTACATTATGGCCAATGCAGAGTATCAAAAACCTGCATCTTTACTGCTTCTGCTCTCACACAACTTCAAAAATGGCCAAACAGATGTTTTTTCAATTTCACATACAAACTTCACTTCCTGGCGGTAGCAGTGTGTGCCAAGTTCCAGCTCAGTGCAAGTTTTTATGGCTGAATTCTAAACCCCTGACAATAGGGGGTTATAATGAAATGCTGACAGACCCCTGAGTGCCAGCAAATGCAATGGCTCGATGCAAAGGAGGATGTGTGCCCACTGAGGTCCAGCTGGGACCGTGCAAGCCAATCAATCCTTAGAAGAAGAAAAGCGGTTTTTCCCTAACTCCCCATGTTCACAGAGATTTCTGGGCCAGCAGTGCTGGCCTTTACTTTGGCCTTTATCCATAGAGAGAGATGTCCAGAGAAATTCTC